ACGACTAGTATGATGTTAATTGTTTACAACATTTCGATTGAATTTTTTTTTGATTGAAGATGCTTTTTGTTTAATTGAATAATAAAAACACAAATTTACCTCCATACAGCTGAACCCTGAAGGACTAGATGAGGGGTCCTCTGAGACCAGGTGAGTCCTGTGAGACCAGGTGAGTCCTGTGAGACAAGGTGAGTCATGTGAGACCAGGTGAGTCCTGTGAGACCAGGTGAGTCCTGTGAGCTGGAGGTCTTCAGTCAGTTTTCGTGTCCACCTTCAGATTTTCTTGAAGTTCTTTTAGTTTTGTGAAAAACTAAAAGATTCTCACAGATAAAAGTCCACAGAGAACGTTCCTCTTTGTGAGGATGGATCAGAATGAGACTGAGGATCAGCAGGCCTCTGTTCAAGTCCTGATCCCTCCAGTTTCAGCTGGTTTTTGTTTGTTTGTTTGTTTGTTTGGTTTTAAAGCTAAAAGCAGTCAGAGCTCCTGGAATCGAACCAGCGAGCTTTAGATCTCAGCAGCAACCAGTCTTCTGCTCCTCCTCTAAAACACCAGGATACAAATATCTGAAAAAGTGACATGTAGGTCAGGACAAACAGTTTCTTTCTCTTTTATTGTACATTAAAAAAACAAACAGTGCAAATCCCCACATTAAACTACGAGGGGTGGTCACATACAAACATCTCTGATTTCTTAAGACTGTTTTTTCCAGAAAGACAATCAAAACTTTTGTTTCTAATTGGACAGAAAGTTGATGTGTAATCACACAACAGACATATTTGTGTTTCCTGTTTCTGTGTAAACAGATTGTCATTTCAACTAAAAAATAAATGAACAGGAAGAGCTGTTCTACTGCAGTCAGACCAAATCAGATGTTTTAATCCTCAGATAGTTTCAGGAGGATCTGAACAGATCCTGGAGGACTGAGACCAACAACTGGATCAGATCRAGACTTGAGTTTCTGTCGCTTCAGAAGAGACAAATGGAAACGTTGGACCAAATGATCAGAGCTCTGATTGYTCAACAACTTCCACATGCTAACATGCTAACACATTAGCATCCATATCTCCTCCTGCGGTGAGCGTGCTGCAGGTGACGTCATGAAGTCTGATGTGAGCGCAGAGTCCAGAACACACAAATACTTCCTGTTACAAACACTGATACTGGATCAGTGGGTGGACCCATCAACACCTGACAGAATGATGGAGTTAACACTGAACTGTGGAAAACACACACACACACACACACACACACACCCTTAAAGTTCATTATTGAAACAAAAACTACGATACAAAAAAGATTTGTCACAGTGCAGCAAACATTTAAAACTACGTCATTAAAACATTTCAAGTGCTTTTAATRCTCTAAAAAAAGGATCAAACTAAACCTGATCTGAGAAACACAGCTAACATTTCTGATGATAAACAGAACTCCCATGATCCAAACTAAATTGTGGATTTTATTTTTTAAAACGGGACGATTTTCTGTAAAGTTTGTACGTCACTGAGCTGTGACTGCTGGACTGGTCAGTAGCTGTGTTTCCATTACAAATGTTCGCAAAACTTTGTCGATATTCTGTTAATGTCAAAAAACAGTTTCACAACTGCAGTG